GTCCAGCACTTCATCTACACCAGTACCATAGAAGTCATAGGCCCAAACTGCAGAGGGGACCCCATCTGCAATGGGGATGAAGATACAGCCTACCAGAGCACATCAGGATTTCCTTATGCCCAGAGTAAGAGACTGGCAGAGACGTCTGTTCTGAAGGCAAATGGTCAGGCACTGAAGGATGGTGGCATCTTCCTGACGTGTGCCTTGAGGTCCATGTACATCTTTGGAGAAGGATGCCGGTTTCTCCAGACTCACCTGGATAAAAGCCTCTTGAATAAAAATGTCTACCTGCGGATTTCTAGGAAAGACGCTCTGGTGAATCCTGTATATGTGGGAAACATTGCATGGGCTCACATCCAGGTGGCAAAAGCCTTGAGGAACCCGGAAAGAGCCAAGCACGTCAAAGGGCACTTCTACTATATCTCTGATGACACTCCTCACATGAGCTATGCCGACCTAAATTATGAGCTGACCAAGGAGCTGGGGTTTGGAATTGAGCCCCACCCACCCATGCCGCTGATGATGCTGTACTACTTTGCGCTTCTGCTAGAAGTTGTGAGCTTCCTACTTAGGCCCTTTGTCAAATACATCCCCTCCACCAACCGTCACCTTGTGATCTTGCTGAACACGCAGTTCACGTTCTCCTACAGGAAGGCATGGCGGGATTTTGGCTACATGCCCCGCTACAAATGGAAAGAGGCCAAGCAGCGCACCAGCCAGTGGATTGCCTCACTGATTCCACAAAGGAGGGCGTACCTGAAACACAAGGCTGTCTAAGCCTGAGAGAAACAGAAGCATGGCAAGACAAGCCGGCCCATGAGCCCACAGGTGAGCTGGAGGAATTGCAGTAACGGACAACAACAAAGCATTGAAATGTGAAATCTATGTGATGAAAAGTTGGAATGAATAAAGAATATGAAACTCTTCATTTGTTTGTGGTGGATGGGCTGATTGGTTATCACAGTTACTTTAAAATCTACAGCCACCTCTCCCTCTCTGCAACACAGATATTTTTATTTGAGTAGAGTCCCTTCTGAAGTACACTCAGCCCTTCCCTTTCTCTAACTTTATCTGAGACTTTTGGGAAAAGAGTAAAGGCTCCATTATTATCTTTCCCAGCAGTGGATGGATACCCACACACACACACCACACTCCACCTACCATCATCAAATTATATCCATATAAAACTGGTGGGAGCAACCTGACTGTAGATGCTCTTATAACAACGAGGGACAGTAGTCCACCTTTTCAAAGTGGTGTCTAATATTTTTGTTTCCTTGTTTAGGATCCAACTTTAGATACCTTTCTTAGGTGCCTAAATATGGGCTTCAGCTTCTAACTTTATGCCCCCATTTTTGAAAAGATATATGAAAAATTTCCTGATATGATATGCATTAGTCAATTGGGTAAAACAAGTTCTATTGTTCCTGACTCTGTCGCTGATTTGCTGGATTACTTTGATCAGGTAACGAACCTTTTTGTGCCTCAGTTTCCCTTAGCTGCATTACAAGGAGAACACCACCTACTCCCAGGACAGTTGTGAAGATTAGTTAGCTAATGTCTACCTATCAATTTGAATGTGCAAAGCACTATATAAGTGCTAAGTAATATTCTATTAGTGTTTTGTGGCGGGTGATGCCCTTGGCTATCTTAAGGCTGTCAGCCTATAGCCCCCTAACTTGCCAATTACGTAGCTATGGTGAATTTGATGGAAGCCCAGTAAGAGCAAAGGACAAAGGCTATACCAAAATTAAGAGAACAGACGCTGCAGGAAAGCTGTGGTACCTACAGGAGGTTTCCCTGCAAAGTTCATAGATTCCAAGGCCAGAAGGGACAGCTGTGATCATTTAGGCTGACCTCTATATAACATAGGTCATAGAACTTCCCCAAAATAATTCCTTTTGAACTAAAGCTTATCTTTTTCAAAGAAAACCAATCCTGATTTAAAAATTTCCAGTGCTGGAGAATCCACCACCATTCTGGGTAATGGTTCCAACAGTTAATGACCCTCACTGTTAAAAAATTACACCTTATTTCCAGTCTGAATTGTCTAGCTTGTAGAATAACAAATAATATTGCAAGAGAATTCCTTGGGATTTCCAGATATCGGACTAGGTGCTAGAGGTTAGAGTCAGCTGGTATGTGCTTACACGCAGTCTCCACACCTCTATAGTGGCCATAATAGTTTCTGCAGAATTTAAGCTTTTATATAAACAAAGCTTCTAAGCTTGTTTGAACAGATAATCTTCTGAATGTAATCCAGTGCTGCACTGTCTTCCTGAATCTGCAGCCAGCCTGAAACAACCCTAAGAGGTGGGAATTTCTCTGTTCATCTCAGCATGGTGTTAACGCTGAAACTTATTGATACACATTAAACTATTAATAGACTTCATTTTCAGAGGTATTGAGCAGGCAAAGCCTTCACTGGGACTAATTCTCTGCTGCCTTTCACCTTACTGTCATTTACAACAGTGGAAACTTGGTGCAAATGTTACCATTTTGCTTTAGGATAATGGTATACCTACTTTTTTTCATGGATTCCAAAGCTAGTAGGGACCCCCTGTGACCATCTAGTCTGACCTCCTGTTTGACACGGGCCACAGAACTTCCCCAAAATTACTCCTAGACCAGATCTCTTAGAAAAACATCCATCCTTAATTTAAAAATTGTCAGTGATGGAGACTCCACCACGACCTTTAGTAAATTGTTCCAACAGGTAATTAAGCTCACTGTTAAACAGGTACCCCTTATTTCCAGTCGGAATTTGTCAAACTTCAACCTGCAGCCATTGGATCAGTCTCTGCTAGACTGAAGAGCCCATTACTAAATGTTTGTTTGCCATAGTTTCCCATATAGGTCCTTATGGACTGTGATCAAATCATCCCTTAACCTTCTCTTTCTTAAACTAAATAGACTGGGTTCCTTGAGTCTATCACTATAAGGCATGCTTTCTAATTCTTTAATCATTCTTTGGCTCTTTGCAAGATACACTGAAGTGAAAAAACAATCACCCATTGACTTTAGCGTTGCCACTTAATCCGTCCCCACATCTGTAACTGGTGATCAGTTGCAGATGCCTCCAGCTAACTAGGTATTCATTCAAGCATTGTTTTCAGTCTCAGGTAGCTGGAGGCATCTGTCAGGTGCTCAGCAGTTAAAAGAATGGGAAGCTGATTTTCACAGGGACCAAGTATCCACAACTCTAAAGTCAATGGGTGTGAGATTTATATATATATAAAATTCTTCCCCATTTCCCTTGCACATTGGACCAGCAGGAATAAAAGTGCTAGAGACCCACTCAAACTGTTTCTGTAAAAAATGACTATTAGCCCATAGCTTTCTCATCCTGAAGGAAACAGAGAATGTTTCCCATAGGCTGTACTGTACGTTAATAATCACTATATAAAACCAATGTTGGGTTAAAGCCATCACATCTCCCATCTCAGGAAAAGAGAATTACAAATGCATTAAGGAACAGATGTGCAACTAAAATCTGGAATTGTCAGGTCCCACCTAGGGTTCACCTTGACCAGCTAATAGATGCCAAAATGCAACATATCCTGTCTACTCTAGTGTTTTACAAAAGGTATTTTAAAATGTTTTCACTAACGTGTTTTAAAAATACACATTTTATCCTTCTCTAGGCAGGGCTCAAATAGCCCAATCCTGATAGGTGCTCAATATCTATAATATGCCTTCAATGAGAAACATATGCTCAACTGATCAGGCTCCAAATTAAGGGCACTTTAAGTAATTAGTGTCTCCAAAGAGACAAATGTTTCTGGTTTTGTTTTTGGTTGTAACAGTTCTGTGAAATAAACTGCTAACAACAGGCAAAGGAATTGGAGGTTTGGCAAAATGAAAGTGTCAGACGCAGAGGTCTTGTCTACAACACAAACTGATTGGGAAATGGCCTTTAAATGGTTTTTGTTGTGGTGTGGGTTTAATTTTGTGAAATCATTTTAGAAACCAAGCGATGCCCTGTCCACACAGTGCCAGCAAGAGAGAGACAGCTAAACAGGTTTTTAAAACATGCTGCTGCTTAGCCCCAGAACAATGTGCAGTTATTTTGGTTGACACAGGAAGCAATGAGGGCCTGATTCTCCACTATTCTACTCCTTGTGTTACTTACACTTGCTCAAAGTGAGTTCAAAGACTAAATGCTACCAAATCAGAATTCTCCACTCACTCACACCAGTGACAGTGGGTCACACTCATTTTGCATAGGTGCAAATGATTATACAAGGGCAAGGCTGGGGGGGGGAAGAAGGCTGAGTGCTTCTCCCTTGTGGTTGCTGTGGGAACTTTGAGTATCCATGAACAGCTTCCTATCAAGAATTTGTGCCCAAATAAAGGGTGTTTTTCATGCCATTTGATTTTGCATACCTCCCTAAAATTCTTTTTAGGGACCTTATAAACCTGCCCTTAGTTTTTAACAAACCTTTTGCAGTTTACCTGACCTGTGGAGGCACTATTATGGTTGATAATATTGCAGCTGAATGCCCTATAAACCGATAGGCAGTGTATTGACTTGAAATGTGGCTGCATCCAAATGGCACAAGCACAGTCTGCAGGCAGGGGACAAGGCTCTCCTCCTAACATTAGAGTAAGCAAACATAATGTTTGGACAACATGGTATGGAGGCGTGATCAGGGTAAGCCAGAGGCAAACTGAAGTGTGAGGCTCCTGACAGTAAAATTCCAGAGCAGCTACAAGATACATTCAGCCCTGGTTCACTCAACTAACTTCAGGGATGGACACAGTTCTCATTGTGTACTAGACAAATCATTTTTGATCAGTGGTCATGAAGGCCCAGTCTAGACTGGGAAGATGAGGTGTGCTTAGCAAAGGTGTTTGCTAACACCAGTTAATTCTTCCAGTCTAGACAGGCCCTAACAAGACTGCTTTGTTTCTCTTCAGTAAAGCTGACTGTAAGCTATACAGGGCCATTCTACCCTAGAAACAGGACAATGGGAGAGAAGATGGGAGAACATAGGGTATTTTTTTAAAAAAAGTTTTATTTCAGAGGGGGAGACACAACGCAACAGAAAACTAGATATTATAACATGTACAGAAAACTGGGACGTTTTTGCCCAGATTTAACTGAGCTCCTAAAATAGCAGCTACAAATAAATATTATCTAAAATGAGGAAACAATTGCTGGAGACATTGCCAGAGAGAACAGAGGGCACTTTGTCTTCCTCAGTTCAGTAAGTGAGGCATTTCCCAGGATTTTGGCTCTGACATCTTATGAGCCAGGTATCTGTCTCAGAGCCTAATTTATCATTTTTGACTTCTTAGTAAGACAATGAGATATATATTTCCCCTCTTGACCCTCTATTTTGCTGTACTCCAAACAATGTTCCTTAGCACCAAATTCCCTCAGTGCCCTAATTCCTCCCACTTCCCAGCCCTCTGAACCCCAAATGATCAACTCCCTCAGCTGCCTCTCTCTCCTTGTTCCCCCCGATCCCCAAATGATTGATTCCTATCAACATCAAACTCATTCCCAATACTCAGAGCCCCCCATCCATCCTAGAACAATCTACCTGCACTAAGAATGTGCCCACTCCCTTTGTAGTTCCTTCTTGATGTCATCACACCATATAATAATTTATGCATGAGTTTCTGTGTGCAGGACAGGGGCTCTCATGGCTGTGCTTTCTACTCCATGTGGAGTTTATGGTGCTGTGCAAGGTGACTCTTGTAACGAAAGCTTTTCCCACACTCAGCACATTTATAGGGTTTCTCTCCTGTGTGGATTCTCCGGTGCCTAACGAGGTGTGAGCTCTGGATGAAGCTTTTCCCGCATTCAACACATACGTAGGGTTTCTCACCCGTGTGGGTTCTCTGGTGCTGGGTAAGTGTTGAGAAATCACTGAAGCTCTTCCCACACTGAGCACATTCAAAGGGCTTTTCTCCGGTGTGGATTCTTTGGTGGTTAATAAGGTGAGAGTTCCGGCTGAAGCTTTTCCCACACTCGTTACAATGGAAAGGTCTCTCTCCTGTGTGGGTTCTCTTGTGAGTGAAAAGGTGAGAGCTCACACTAAAGTTTTCCCCACATTCACTACATATGTAGGGTTTCTCACCTGTGTGGGTTCTCTGGTGTTTAATTAGGTCTGAGCGCCAACTGAAACTTTTGTTACATTCAGTACATTTATGTGGTTTCTCTCCTGTCTGTGTTATTTCATGCTGTGTAAGGTTCGAGCTCTGACTGAAGCCCTCCCCACATTCAGTATATACATAGGGTCTCTCCTCTATAGGAATTCTCTGGTGGATGATGATACCTTGAAGAGCTTCCAAATCTCTTTCTGGATGAACAGAGTTACCCAGTATCTTACCAGGAAGGTCTCCCTGATGTGTTTCTGACATGTACTGGCCCTCATAGGCCCCCTCCTCATCAGGGCTCTGGAAAACATTCTCTTCACACCCCTCTGATATTGTACCATACTGTTCCAGATTCTCAGGACCATCTTCCTGCGGGTTCTTCTCCTCATGCTCATTCAATCCTTGAATAAATAGAAGCCAGACATGAGTGTTTGGTCGAAAAGAAATCTAAGAAAGGAGAATTGCACAAAGTATGAGTCAACTAAATAAAATGTAAGACTGGATGTGAGACGGAAAATCCCAACCCCCATCCCACAAAAAAAAAAAAAAAGAAAGAAAGAAAAACAACCATTTCCCAATATGGAGATGGCAATTTTGCTTCAAAAACTCAAATGAACATTCAGAGAAAAGTTGGGTTGGGGGGAGAGAGAAACAGAACTCTGGCCAGCAGTCAGTCAGGACTGATGGAAAACCATAAGTGAGGCTTGCCAGAAATAACTGCTGGCTGTAATCCCAAAGCAGAGAAGAAACAGTACGGGAACGGTTTTAAATGAAACAAAAAGTTGAATTTCCAGCAATTTCTGAATTGGCTTAACTTATTCCTCACCTGTGGAGGCCCCAAAGAGGATCTCCCTTTCCTCTGACTCCTGGAGAATTGGAGCACACAGCTCTTCCTCTCGTTCCATCCAGAGATGATGGCAGGCTTAGGGACCCTGCTCATGGCCATTAAAAGAGTCAGTATCACACCTGGTTACATCGCCATCAAGTATTTCCTATTAACAACCCCCAAGGGGGCACAACAAGAACAAAAACAAAAACTCATGAAACTAACTTAAAAATCATTACATGTCCCCCATCAAGCATTCCCGATTATGACTGAACCCTCAGGGCACTGTGACGAAGTAGGGATGTCATATTTAATTTTCAGTCTGTCTTCTGATTTTATATTTCAGAACAGGAAGACCACCCTCTGTGTGTGTGTGTGTGTGTAAAATACCCTCCTCTTCCTCCTGACAGACAGGACGGACACTCTCCCCAGCATCCTCCTGTGCTCACCTTAAGAATCCCCTGGGGCGCTCTCCCTAATTACTTGCTGTATACACCTTGATCTGGGTGCTGGCCTCTTCTCCCCTGTCCCGTTCCTCCTAAGGCCCCTGTCCCTCACAGTTCTGCAGCAGAGGGTAGGTGAGGTCAGACAGAGCACCTCTCGTGCCGGTGGAGGGAGGTAAAGGTCACTCTCCTTTATCCCTATACATCCCCAATGCTTTCACTTTTCCATCCCACCCTCCCTGGCATTACATTAAACTGCAAGGAAGCTGCTGCTTCTGCCCGGCCAGCTGGCACCTCCCTCACTGCTCACAAAGCAAGGAGCAGGGCAGAAGCTCTTCAGGGAGCCAGGGTGCTTCATGGAGGAACCTGCGCTCCAAAGCCACCTGCTTGGTTCCCAGCAGTGGCCTCTGGTGGCCATAGTCAGAAATACTGAGCTGAAAGACAGCTGCAAGCAAGTTTGCAAGTGGCTGCTAAGACGAAGTAAAGTTATAAAAGTCATAGAAATTTCACATGAACTGGCCACCCTGAGTGTTGGCTGCAAAGCACTTCCCCTCGATATTAAAATCACCCAATCCTTCTACTGGGAGGAGAGCTACACTAGTAGAGAATATAGCACCGCTAGACTATAAGCTCTCTGAGGCAGAGACTGCCTCTTATTAGTATACAGCGCCTAGAACAACGGGACCCCAACTTCATTTGGGTTCTTTATCAATAGATTCTAAACAGAGACTTCAATCACAATCCCATTCATTACTCACAATACATTTGCACAAGTTGGCAGGACCTGAACAGTTACTGGGCAGTGGAGTTGCTTTCTCCCTGTCCCCATTAATATTTACTTCTACAAAGTGGAACAGCTCCAGTAAAATAGATTGAGAGAGATCCACCTCAGAATACCTCATAGCCTGGTGGTTAGGGCACTCACCTAGGACATAAGAGGCCTGGGTTTAAGTCCCATAATAGGTGGGAGTGTCAGCGTGTGTCTCACTCTCTGGGTATTAGAGAAAGGAATGACCTGGCTTAGGAGCCCAACTGTGGGGGAGGGTTCCTGGCTGAGAATCCTAAGCAGAGGGAGGTGCCTCTCTCCAGCCCATCAGCCATATGACTAAGACCCAAATCAACAGGACTTTGACACCTTTGAGAATCTAGGCATTTCACTCCTGTTCAGTTTGCTGGCATCTGAGAATCCTCTTCTTTGGTGCCTAACTCTCCACTTGCATCGTATAGGGAGCCTGCAGCCTAAGTCGGGGCCGAGAATTCCATGAGGCAGCAGAGCACCTGAGTTAGGCATTGCAACACCTAAGAACCTCTGTGAACCTAGCCCCAAAATCCTAGGATCGGTATAGGGTTGCTAGATGGATATGGTCAAACTGTCAAGGAGGCAGAAAAGATTGGAGTGTTCAATAAATATTTTTTCTGTTTTGTATTTGGAAAGAACCAGGTTGACACACTTACAGCTTACACTGATAATGAAACACTTTCTATTCCAACAATGACCAATGAGGACATTAAACACCATCTCCTAACATTAAATATTTAAAAATCTACAAGACCAGATAATTTGCATTGCAGAGTTTTAAAAACATTGGCCAAGGAGCTTCTTGACTTACTACATTTTGGAATACTGAATATGTACATTGCCAAACAAACCAGATATTGTTTTTTGCAGGGATTACAAGTTTAGATGACAAAGATAACTGTGTTGACATAACATACTTAGATCTCTGGCAGGCGTTTGACTTATTACTGCACAATAGTCTGATTAAAAAGTCAGCATTTTACACAATCAATGTAACATTAAACAGATTAAAACTGGCTGACAAATCTCAAAAAGCACTTGCTAACTCTCTCACACTTGACGCCTTTAAATCAAGACTATCCATTTCTAAAAGACATGCTATAGCTCAGCCACAAGTTACAGGCTTGATGCAGGAATCATTAGATGAAATTGTATGATCTGTGTAATGCAGGGAACCCAGATGAGACAATGGTCCTTTGGGCCCTAAAAATCTATTAATCTATCTAGTAAATATTTATAACAGATCCATCATCAAGGTATCTGGGTACTAATAATAATTTCAGTCAGTGGAATACTTTTGAAAGGGAGAGGTTAATTATAGCAAATCCGTATAACTAAATAAAACATAGGACTCTATTTTTAATACCAACCACTGTATATAAATATTTGAGAGCCAGTCTAAGGAAGGGGAAATAAATGGAAACCAAAAATAGAGAAGACAAAAATTTACTGTCTCCCTCCTGGCCCCACAGCATAATTGCCATGTAATCTACCAGACTGGGCCAGCCAGGCAGTACAAAGGGCACTAAACTGAGGCAGCCAGAAGGTCCCCGTGGTTTGGTCTGGCAAATCATAGAATATCAGGGTTGGAAGGGACCTCAGGAGGTCATCTAGTCCAACCTCCTGCTCAAAGCAGGACCAATCCCCAACTAAATCATCCCAGCCAGGGCTTTGTCAAGCCTGACCTTTAAAATATCTAAGGAAGGAGATTCCACCACCTCCCTAGGTAACGCACTCCAGTGTTTCACCACCCTCCAAGTGAAAAAGTTTTTCCTAATATCCAAGCTAAACCTCCTCCACTGCAACTTGAGACCATTACTCCTTGTTCTGTCATCAGCTACCACTGAGAACAGTCTAGATCCATCCTCTTTGGAACCCCTTTCAGGTAGTTGAAAGGTAGTTGAAAGCACCTATCAAATCCCCCCTCATTCTTCTCTTCCCTCAGCCTCTCCTCATAAGTCATGTGTTCCAGTCCTCTAATAATTTTTGTTGCCCTCTGCTGGACATTTTCCAATTTTTTCACATCCTTCTTGTAGTGTTGGGCCCAAAAATGGACACAGTACTCCAGATGAGGCCTCACCAATGTTGAATAGAGGGGAACGATCACGTCCCTCGATCTGCTGGCAATGTCCCTACGTATACATCCCAAAATGCCATTGGCCTTCTTGGCAACAAGGGCACACTGTTGACTCATATCCAGCTTCTCGTCCACTGTAACCCCTAGGTCCTTTTCTGCAGAACTGCTGCCGAGCCATTCGGTCCCTAGTCTGTAGCGGTGCATGGGGTTCTTCTGTCCTAAGTGCAGGACTCTGCACTTGTCATTGTTGAACCTCATCAGATTTCTTTTGGCCCAATCCTCTAATTTGTCTAGGGCCCTCTGTATCCTATCCTTACCCTCCAGCGTATCTACCTCTCCTCCCAGTTTAGTGTCATCTGCAAACTTGCTGAGGGTGCAATCCACACCATCCTCCAGATCATTTATGAAGATATTGAACAAAACAGGCCCCAGGACCGACCCTTGGGGCACCCCACTTGATACCGGCTGCCAACTAGACATGGAGCCATTGATCACTACCCGTTGAGCCCGACAATCTAGCCAGCTTTCTATCCACCTTATCGTCCATTCATCCAGCCCATACTTCTTTAACTTGCTGGCAAGAATACTGTGGGAGACCGTGTCAAAAGCTTTGCTTAAGTCAAGGAACAACATGTCCACCGCTTTCCCCTCATCCACAGAGCCAGTTATCTCGTCATAGAAGGCAATTAGATTAGTCTGGCATGACTTGCCCTTGGTGAATCCATGCTGACTTTTCCTGATCACTTTCCTCTCCTCTAAGTGCTTCAGAATTGATTCCTTGAGGACCTGCTCCATGATTTTTCCAGGGACTGAGGTGAGGCTGACTGGCCTGTAGTTCCCCAGATCCTCCTTCTTCCCTTTTTTAAAGATGGGCACTACATTAGCCTTTTTCCAGTCATCCGGGACTTCCCCAGATCACCATGAGTTTTCAAAGATAATGGACAAGGGCTCTGTAAGCACATCTGCCAACTCCTTGAGCACTCTCGGATGCAGCGCATCCAGCCCATGGACTTGTGCTCGTCCAGCTTTTCTAAATAGTCCCGAACCACTTCTTTCTTCACAGAGGGCTGGTCACCTCCTCCCCATGCTGTGCTGCCCAGTGCAGTAGTCTGGGAGTTGACCTTGTTTGTGAAGACAGAGGCAAAAAAAGCATTGAGTACATTAGCTTTTTCCACATCCTCTCTCACTAGATTGCCTCCATCATTCAGTAAGGGGCCCACACTTTCCTTGACTTTCTTCTTGTTGCTAACATGGGGAGAACAAGCTGTAATCCATTTAAAGAGGAGTGACGGATCTGCTATATATCGCCAGGGGGGTAGGGGGGGTTTTAAAGGTGAAAATAGGAGGAAAGATTCAGGCTACCAAACCCTAGCACAAGGAAGGAGAGTGTGGTTCTCCTCTCATCAATATGTTCGAAAGGGTGACTGACAGAGACATGGGGAAGAGAAAGAGCTTGGGCCTTAAATTAGAGGGACTAGACTCTCCTCTGCCCTGTCTCTACATCAGTGCAAAGCACGGGGGAGTAAAATGATACCATTCTGATTTGGTAGCATTTTACAGCGACTTTTGCACAAGTGTACATAACTACACAAGGTTTGAGGAAGTAGAGAATCAGACCTAGGTTGTTGTACTTTTCTGGGTCTCAGAGAAGGGTGGTAGGAACTGTTTTCTACAGAGAGTGAATCGGACCTGATTTGGTGCCCCATGTCACCAGTGGGTCTGCCCGCTCCCCTCTGCAGGTTGCAGTTACCAAATTATCAGTGATGGAGGAAAAAAGGGTCTGTGGGGAGTTAGGGTTGAGAGTTGTACGCTGCTTGCACTTACTCTATATCGCACCTTCCAACAAAGCACTTAACATGCATTACAGAGGACCAGTAAGGGAAAGAAGATTAGCTCTTTTTCCTTCTTTATGATGGATAAAGACAGCCTCAAAGGTTTTTTAAAAAAAACAAAACACACACACCATGCATGAGGGGGTTCTTTTTGTTTTTTAACATTAGAAATTCAGGTTTACTGTGGAAGACTTTATTGATGACTGGAAAACTGGTAGGCATCACAGGAGACTGAAATCTGAACATGGGGAAGGGTTTATTATTTTTAAGAGTCAAAATGCTTAAAAGGGGCCCAAAGGACCATTGTCTCATCTCAACATTGTTTTTGTTAACACCAATTTAATTCCAGTAACTAATATGGTCTCTGCAGTCACCCACCATCAGTAAGCACCCACTGTGTGGCCTGGAATGCCCACCAATCTTGCCAGGTCCAAGGAAAAGTCCTGAGAAAGATGACCATGGGAGGCTGGGTCGCTCACTGGCTCTATGTACAAGTCCAGCAGCATAAAAGCAAGCCAGAGAGCACTACTGGTCAGGGCAAGTGACCCTGGGATTTCCCTTTCAGTGCTACTTGAACCCATGAGTTTTCTATCCCAAACACAGATAGTTCATCTCATGCTCAGAATTTGCGAATCCATCCCCTCTTAAAATATTACCCTCAATCTGTGGCCCCTATTGCATTTATTAGAAGTGGGGTCCGTACAAAGCAGCATGCAACACTCGGTCCCAATCTGGGGCCAAGATGCATTGCTCACTAAGAGACGGAGCTTCGATAGGCATCCGGTTGACATGGGAGAGCTCTGCTTTCCATGCCTTTCTCAGTCACTCTCCTGCTGTATGACCCGGTACCAGAGCTGTCCCTAGGGGCTGTGCAGGGCCCAGGACATAGGTGCCAAGTTTCTATCTGCCAGTGGGGTGCTCCCCCTGGCTCTGCCCAGGCCCTGCCCCCACTCCACTCCTTCCCACAAGGCGCCACCCCTGCCCCACCTCTCCCCCCCTTCCCTGCAGCACCTCCAATGCAGTGAAACAGCTGATCGGTGGTAGGCACTGAGAGGGAGGGGAAGCTGCTGATCCATGGGGCCCGCTGGCAGACAAAAGGCATTGGGGGCAGGAGGAGGTTGGTAGGGGGTCTCCTCTGCACACACACACCCCGCCCGCTTCCTCACGAAGTGTGGGGCTCCCCAAAGTGCAGGGCCCAGGGTGGTCGCCCCTCAGGATGGCTCTGCCTGTCATTTTGGCTTCTTTGCCTATGTCTTGTCTTTTTAGATCAGAAGGACTGGGGTAGTGACTGTCTCTTAGGGACACTTGATGGTGGGAGCTCTAAGCTACTCCAGAGAATTCTTTCCCTGGTATCTGCCTGGCAGGTCTTGCCCACATGCTCGGGGTCTAACTGATCGCCCTATGTCAGGTGAGGAAGGAATTTTCCTGCGGGTCAGATTGGCAGAGACCCTGGGGGGGGGGGGGGTTCGCCTTTCTCTGCCGCAGGGGGCTTGGGTCACTTGCGGGCTTAAACTAATGTAAACGATGAATTCTCTGGAACTTGGAAGTTTTTTAATCGTGGTTTGAGGACTTCAGTAACTCAGCCAGACCTTGGGGGTCTATCGCAGGGTTGCGGGTGACGAGATCCCGTGGCCTCCCTGCGCAGGAGTCAGACTCCAGACCCGGGGATGCCAGTCCCTTACGCCCCTCTGGCCTTGCAGTCTGTACGTGTCTTACTACGTGTGTGAACAACGGCACATGCACGGCGGCCCCGGGCCTAACGGGAGGAAGGGGAGGCTATAGGACGGGCTGCAAGGGAAACACGGGGCTTGCTTGCCCAGGCCGCCCCGCCTTGCCCAGCCACCCGCACCCCCCGGCTGTGCCACACCTCCCCTGACTCCGGCCCGCCGGCGGCCGCTCCCTGCCCCCGGGCCACGCCCCCTCGGCCGGCTGCGCCCAGTCCGCGGCTCGCCCAGCGCCTGCACCGGGCCGGGCCGATTCCTGCCTCCCCCGCGCCCCGGCCGCTCACCCCCCGGGCCGGGCGGCTCCATCGCGGCGCGGCGCGGCGCTGCTGGGCGCAGACGCCGCGGACACGTCACGCTCCCGCCGCCTTCGCTCGGGGGCCGCGGCTGCGGCTGCTTCCTGCAGGCCTGGGGCGGGGGAGGGGGCGCTGCCAGGCGCGCCCCCTGCGGGCAGCCCCCGCGCCTCCGCCCCTTGTGGGCGAGGGCGAGCCCGAGCCCGACCGTGCCCCCCCCCCTCCGCCCCGCGCGTGCGGCCGCCCCGCCCCTACCTGCCGGGCTCGCGCGCCGCGCCGCCTCCCCGCGCGCGCGGCCGGACAGAGGGCTGCGGCCCGCGCCGCCCGACGGTTGCCCTGTGCTCGGCCGGGCAGCGGCGCCCCCTCCCCCCCTCTCCTCAGCCACGTCGGCTGTGGCCGTCAGTCCCCGCGCACCGCAGGGCTGGGGGGCTTCCCGGCTGAGCCGTGCGGGGCTGCCCCGCGCCCGCTTCAGAGCCCCCCCCACCAGCGCCGGCCCCTCACAAACCTGCCCCAGGCAGCGCCCGGAACCGGGGAGGCCTGGCAGGGCTGCTGGCGGCTCGCAGAGTCTCCCCTCAGTGATGTGCTTTGCAACAAACAGGGGCTGCCAACGTTGTGGGGTTTCCTTCAGGCCGGGGTTAGAAACACGAGAGGCCCCAGTGCTCCAGCTGCCTCTCCGCGGAGCTGAGGTTGGAAATCCATAAAAACATCTGGCGCCTATAAGGGTTAAGCCTGTGGGGCAGCGTTGGAAGAATCAGGGCCGTGGAAAGAAAGTTGCTGCTAGTCAAAAAGCCCAAACCCCAAATGTTAGAAAAGAGCAATCCGGCAGTGGTCACAAACCTTTAAAAAACCAGCGTTAAGGAAATCAGCAAGGGTTAAGAGCAGCCAAGAAAATTAGGCGAGGGACAAAATAATAATAACAGTTGGCAAAGACTATGAACAACAACCAACAAATAGAGCGAGTTCGAGCTCTGTGTAATTTGCCTCTCTGCAGATGTCCCCTGCGAGGGTTATGCCTTTCGCCCAGGATGGAAAATCAAATAAAGGGGAAAGTAGGCATGGGTACCTTAATGTTTTAAAAACATTGTGCCTTCCCCCTCCTTTTTCTCTGTAAATCTTTTGGAGGGGCCTTGATCCTGCAAACACTGATATGAGTAACTATCTTTACATAGGTATGGAGCTGTATTGAACTTAATAGGCTGGTTCTCCTTACCACTTAGGCTCCATGTACAGGCTGCAGTGGGGGCTGGCAGGACAAACAGGCAGGGGTGGGGAGTCTGTGCAACACCGGCATGCAGCACAGCTTATCTCCACTGTGGTCTGTGAGGGTCCAGCACAAAAGGTCAGTTTGGATGTGTGGTCATAGATCCATGCATATACAGATCCAGTGGCCTCAGTACCCTGAGCAATCAGTATAAAAATAATTCAAGAGTCATTGGAGCAGGGGAACTGGACCCAGAGTCTCCCAGGTGGGTGCTCTAACAACCAGTCTAGAGTCATTCCTATTGTCTGGGCCTTGTACTCTCTCTCTGGCCCAGTGAGTCTTTCAGTATATATAAAGTCTCTGAAAAGTCAGGCCCTAGACATCTTAAAAGTAGGCACCCAAAATTAGTGGACAGTTGACCGTTTTAAGCCCTAATTTCTCTGTGCCTCCATTAATCATCTGTAAAATGGAGTTAGTAATACCATATTATCTCACAGGGGTCTTGTAAAGATAAATTCATTAATATTTGTGAGGTACTGAGATATTACAGTGATGAGTATCATAGAAAATCCCATAAGGAAATTGATAATTCTGTATTCAGTGCAGGGTTTAAATGATATGCAATAAAAAGATATGGGGCAACACTGAATTGTGAAGATAAGATACTTCTAATTAGCTCCCCATTCAGTGAGCATAATCCATCCTGTTCACTGAATGAGGCAAGGGTCCTGGGGAAAAATAGTGTGTGCCAACCCCAAGTGAAGAGGGAGATCATCATACCTGAACCATCAGATTGTACACCTAGGCAGAAAAAAAAATGAGGCAAGACAAAAGTCCCCCTCATAGCAGTACTGACCAAGCCCAAAGGCTTGGAAGCCTAAGGCGTTTGAAAGCCAGGACAGCTGGAAGAGATGCAGCAGGGCAAGAACTGAACTGCAGTGCCAATCACCTAACACTTTCTCCACAGGGGATTAAGAGCCAGCTGCAAGGCATTAGAACAGCCATCGTGAGTCAGACCACTGGTCCAGCTAGCCCCGTATCCTGTCTTCTGACAGTGGCCTACGCCAGATGCTTCAGACAGAATGAACAGAACAGAGCAATTTAGAGTGATCCTGTCCTTGTTGTCCAGCCCCAGCTTCTGCCATTTGGAGGTTTAGGGACACCCAGAGCAGGGGATTGTGTCCCTGACCATCTTTGCTAATAGCCATTGATGGACCTATCCTTCAGGAACTTACCTAATTCTTCTCTGAACCCAGTTATACTTTTGGCCTTCACAACATCCCCCGACAACGAGTTCTACAGGTTGACTGTGTGCTGTGTGATGAAGTACTTCTTTTATCTGTTCTCAACGAGCTGCTTATTAATTTCATCAGGTGCCTTCTAGTTCTTGTGTTATTTGATGGGGTAAATAACACTTCCCTATTCACTTTCTTGATACCATTCATGATTTTACAGACCTCTATCATTCCATCTCAGTCATCTCTTTTCCAGGCTTAACAGTCTCAGTCTTTTTAATCTCTCCCCATATGGAAGCTGTTCCATGCCCCCTAATCATTTTTGTTACTCTGCACCTTTTCTAGTTCCAGTATATCATTTTTGAGATGGGGGCGGGGGCGGGGGGAACCCAAAACTGCACACATTATTCAAAGTGTGG